TGTGTCATCCTTAATATTGTTCTAAATTTAACCATATTATCTACCTTCATAAACTGTACTATAACAATAGAACAAGATGGTTCAAATTTAACTGGAACATGTCCAATTAAAAACGCAATCAATGTTGAACAGTATTATAGTTCAAGGTATCGATTTTATGGTCCAACGCCAAACTGATATTTTGAGGGACATACATATACCACACCTGCAAAACTCAACATTCTTTCACCGAGGTTAATTCGTCCAGAAACATCACTGAATTATCTCCTTGTTTTTAAATCAACTTTTAAGTTTTTCGTACTTTAATAGACTATAGTAAGAAGACAATAACACAATATGTTATCACAAATATGTAAAATCTCAAATCAATAATACACAAGTCAAAAAGTAATTTTAGATTTATGTAGCATATTTCATATTACTTAATAAAATAACATTTTTAAAACCTATGCATATTAATAAATGCTCGTCAATTTCTCATTAATTAAAATCTATTGTTGTTCAAAAAATACAGTAAGCAAAAATTTTACCTTTGGGCATCTTTTGTAATTCACACGACAGAATAAAATTAGTAATAATGTGACATCGTTGATGGATTTTGGATGAAAAATCGATCGCCATTAAGGGTTATTAGCATTACAATGTTCCTTACACCAATGAATTTCAAAATATCCATTGATGTCAAGACATAACTTCATTTGCGGAAACTAAATAATCTTCATGTAATCAATCAAAATTCAGAAAATTATATTCTAAATCTCAGATATTTACTTAAATAAATAATTCTTAATGTTGAGTGATTTGTTAGTGGTACTTCTCCGAAATTTTGTGTGTGAATATATATATATATATCTATATATATATATNTTATTAATCATGCTATATATATATATATATATATATATATAAATGTGAATGAAAATAATTTTAAATTATATTTTGAAAATTTCCTTAAAACGTTTGAAAGTAATATTTGAATGAAATCTTTGACACTTTTATTGAATCATTTGATTTTGTCAGTCCAAAATGGATGAAAATAACAAACTATTTGGAATGGATTTCTTGATATTTTTATTCTATTATTTTATTCTGTCTAAGTAATATAATTTTTAATGATATGGAGTGCAAAGTGCATGAAAAAGACAAAATGTCTCCTGAAATACCCATCGGATCATAAATTTCAAACTGCACATTTTGAAAAGCTTCACTCAAAGAAGCCAATTTTGTACCCTCGACTTCCCCGATTGGGGTGAGCTGGGAGGGGGCTATTTTCCGAATTTCGAATGCAACCCTTACATTTTAGTACTCTTTTTGAAAACTGCATCCAAATCCTTCGAAGTCATCTCAATCTTAGATATCACGAAAGGGGGTTAAGTTTGATGCCATTATATAGTTTTTCAAGAAGTTCTATAAAATGACACCAGTTTTAACAAACTCAAAATGGGCATATTTTTATATTTTCGTTCTGGCACTCATTTCTCGAGATGATTCTATACAAAAAAATAATGTTATCTTCGTTTGACATTTACACAGCGAAAGCTCGTAAACTAAAATGAACAACCAGTTTGTGAAGGGTATATTTTTCTTGAAAAAAAATCCACCTCAATGAAAAATATAGGTTTTAAAAATACTATAACCTTACATCCAGGACTGAGTATAAAAAGCCAATTTTGGTTTCATTGGACGCCTTTTTTGAAGGAAATACAATTTAGAAACTGTGAACCTCGTAATTTTTTTATGACAAAACAAAGATACGTGATTTTATGAAGAGGTAAAAGAAAAATAGCTTCCTTCACCCATGCAAATTTTTCAAAAATTTTTTGTTTTTAATTTTTTCACCATAAATTTTGCTATTTCGAAAACAGAGTTTTTCATAGAATAAAAAAGCTATTTTTCCTTTAGCTAGTGAAAAATATGGTAAAATCATTCAATAGTTATGAACAGAGAATCATACTTAAATAAAATCACATTTTATGCCCTGAGCAAGGAAGTAAAAGAAGCCAATGAGAAACAAATACAGTTGGAATACCGGTTTTACGTTCTCCGCTTTGTATTTACCTGGGTACATAATTTTTGTACAGACCGCTTCCTACGTCATTTTCTGCTTGTTCTTTCTTCAACGAAAGAACAAGCAGAAAATGACGTGGAATCTATGTTGATGACGTAGATCGGTAGAATCTATGTTCCTTGAAAATAGATTCTACCGATAATGTTAAATTATTCTGGATTTTACATTACCCTTTTTAAGAAAATCCCACTTTATACATTTTTCTTACAGATTAAAATTATTTTTTCTCTACAAAATCCGTAATTTTTTTTCTGAGTTTTCATTTTTTTTCTTCAAAAGAATAGTTTAGTAACCGTTTGCAGCTTTTTTTGACATTCTTTCTTGTCTATCTTATTATCCTTTTGTCTGTGAGACTGGATTTCTCCCTCGAATTAAAATTAAAGGGGCGCTGGGTTGTGCAAAGCATGGGAAGTGGTAGTTAAAGGAAGTATGGTAGTTTAAATTGTAAAATTTACGAGTGGGACTTATTACTGCAAACTTCAACCTTTTAATTTTTGAATCATTCAAACATTTAATAAACAATGCAATAAGCAGCTGGTTAAGTAATCATTTTTTTCCTGACGCAGATGACCTTCAAGATGCTTCTACAGCAAAAATAAATTTACAGCAAAATAGCTCTGGATTTTATTTCTACAACGTCGGACAATGTAAACTAAAATTTATCACAAATATGTTTAATAATTCTTTCCGGGTTAATTGCTTGACGGTATCCAATGGGAGAATTTTGGCCATTCGGGAAAAAATTACTTATCTGAAGATCTTTTCGTAGTCGATGAGGCGTATAGTGACTGCAACACACGTCTCCTTACTTTTCAATTCTTTCCATATCTGATGCAATGTATCTCTCGATGATAGTGATGAAAACAATAAAGATGAGCAAAACATATCGGAGGATATATTTACAACTGTTCAAGAGCTTTAATGCATAAAATCTCTGAAACATTTGCGGAAGCAAGCCATATAGTAAATTTGCAAACAATAGTAAGTATTGGCATGGGGGGTGCTAAAAACCAATCTAAAAACCAAAAGACATGTAAATATTACACATTTCTTCTAGTAATTCATCTCGTGTCACTTTTTGAAAAATAAACTACTCTGAATTTTTGTTATCCCTCTTCGCGCGTTTTTTAGCGCCAGTCAGGGCGGAAAACGTAAAGAAGAGCAAATAGGTTTAATATCATGTTAATGACGGAGGCTTCAGTTTTGCAACAGACTGAAACTGCATTTTTTTGCATGTACAGCCTTACTGAGTATAGTCTGTATATATACCCCTTTTCGTTTTTTTTTGGGGGGGGGATTGATGTCACGAGAAAGAGCATGATATTCGTGACACGCATCCTATTATCCTAAAACCACTTTAAAGAATTTCAATGCAAATGAGGGCATTATCTTGCTGTAAAATCTTACTTCGGGGAACAATTGTCTCTTTAAATTTCAATGAATAAATTTCTAGCGCTTTTTAATAAACGGTAGTATTTATGCGTCCCGAGAGATAGACCATATTAAGTTTTCTACCATAGCTGAAGCCTCTCCAAAGCATTTACGAAACTCCTCAGTGCTGTTCATTTGGAGAGGATTTTCTCATTTTCTAATTGTTTTATCTATCCAACAAGAAATTTGTGATGGAAAAAATTTTTAAAAACTATCCATGAACAAAGGAGAGTATAACATAAAAGGATTAGGATTACTCTTTCAGTTTTTAGTGAATTCAATGAATCATTTTCTCCTTTACTTGACCTATATCTCCAAGAAAACATGGGGGATAACCTGAGTAGTACTACACTATACATATGCAAAAATGTTTTTTTTTTTCAGTTTTATCTGGAATTCGAACATTGAAACCTGGAATAATATTAATGCTAATGTCCTCTACGGATTAGTAAATGGTACACACCGTCATATACTTCAAGTAATATATAAGTATGGCAGAAAAATATTAGCTTTAATCAGAAGTTGCTTAATTTCGGAGGAGCACTTTTTTTCCCCTTTTTTACTCATTTGATGTTTTTTCCTTTCGAAGGAGAGCAGGAAATAAGCTATTCCTAATAGATCGGAGTTTAGATACAGACCTTTTCGATTTATATGTTCGGTTCTCATTAGTTTTCTTTGTGTTAAGTTTTGGTACAAAATCAAGGTGGTTTTATTTAGGTGGGGCACGATGTATAGAGAATTTTCATTATTAAATTAAATTCTCATAAATACATGATTTAATGGTCAGTATTGTGATCAATTGACATTTTAATCTATCTTATTTGAAATTATTGTATTCTAGGTTGGGATTTTACAGATTGCTTGAAAAATAATACAGCTTTTAATAGCAGAAACAAAGGTTATGTGCGAGTAAGACAACTAAAACAGTGCTTCTTGGGTAAATTGTGGGGTTTCTATATTTCACTCAAAACTTATTACCATAGCATTTTCACGAAGAAGTATATATTTAATAAGCCATAGAAAGAATTAATGTCTTCATTAAAAAATGAAAAATTTAAGAAAACTTTACTAAGAAATTTATACTGAGTTTTTGATTTTTTTCAGTTTTGAAGGAAAACGGGAGGATAAACATATTATTGCATCAATCGTGATAATTTTCAAAATCAGTATCACCATAATCTTCAAACTTCAAATCTTCACGCATTATCAAACCACTGTTGAATGGAAATTTTCTCTCAACATTTCGAGAGAAAAAAATCATCTTGCTCTTGTTTTCCAATTTCTATCTGCCTGTTGATTTACTAATTTATTTCAGATAACCTTTTCTGTGGTCATTTTCTTAGCCATAGGATGTCACAAAGACACCAATTCAAGATGTTTGAATTCCAATGAATATACGCGAGTTATGTATCGAGATCACTGCTACTTTAAGCGTTTAATCCTCTCAATGACATCGAAATATTCTGTTTGCTATCCTGAACTTCTTTTTTTTTCAAAAGCAAAATTTTCCACTCAGGGATGAATATACAACATGGAAGTCTAAGCACTCTTTAAAATTCTTCTAAGATATGTAGCCAAGGTATACTGCAAAGTTATCAGCCCATCATATTTACTATCATCTCACATCCCTCTTGTTGAAATCAAAGCAGGCAGTTAGCCAAGTATAGTAGTACCAAGTAAATATTTTTTATTTACTTATTCGTTTTATCCTAAACCTTTATAATAGATTGATTATCAAATAATGTGATTGCACTAATGATGGTTACAACATATAGATTAAACGTTTCCCTTGGCACGGAATGGAATGTTACTCATTAGTATAATATAAAAATTAATCTAGACTTAAATACAGTAAAAATTCCAGAAAATACTACCTTTGTGTAACAATCTCCTCCATTTACGATCTCTTTTGGGAGACATGGAATTTTTTCCACGTACTTAATGTTGAAGAAAATTTTAAGGAACCATCAAACTTCTCTCGCCAACAAACAACCCTCCACACCAAAGGCGGAAAAGGTCGAATAAGGAAGCAAACTAAACAATAGCAAAATAAAAGATATTAACAAAGCAAATAAGTAAATTCAAATGTATTCAAATTATTTATGAGTGACTCTCATTTAGAGAGCTCTTTCTGATAATGGCTGCAAGAGATGAATCAGAGATGAAAAAGAGAATTAGAGGTACCTCATCAGATCTTAGAGTGCCCTAAAAACGATGCTATCAACGATTTAGTTTTAAGGTTATAAGCTAAATTAGAAAGAAAAAAAAAGCATATCAAACAAACCTTTCATTTTTTTAAAATTAAACTAATTTTTATGATTTTAAATTAAATGCGAACTTAAACAGAAAACATGATTGTTTATTTAAAATACTTCAATAATTCAAAATTGGAAAATTTCTTTTTACACATAATTATATCGGTAGGCGTCATTTTTATTGTGGCTTGTCATGATTTACTACCCTTTCAAGTGGTTTTACGTTACGAGATTAAGCAAAGCACGTTCTTAGTTATTCATTCCATAAAACAAGGACTAACTGTATTCAGCATCATGTGGCATTATACTGTTGCTCAAGCCCATCTCATAACATAGAGATGCTAATTTACGCTACCACTTTCAATTTTATCATTGAGTTTGAGTTTTATACGATATGTTATATCTAATAAAAAATAGTTAAATATTAAAGAACGTGCAATAAACTTTTTTTATAAAATAGAAATAATATAATAAGCTTATAAACAGCAATAATTCTTTCTTTTAAATATTTGAAAAAATAAAATTGTCTATAGTTAAATTAACGCTATGAAATTCCATTCTTCAAGCGACTTAATCAAAAGTTCTAATTGAAATGTAAGAATGATTTTTAGGGTTGATAACCAAAATTGCCTTTCACCCACGGCGCAAATTTTCAAACGTTAGCACAAATGGTACCCAAGTTCAAAAAATCAGCAAAACATATTTATTATTATATATTTGTTAAGTTAAAAGTTTCAAACAACCTTTTACAAACACAATTTAATTTAGGATTAAAAATTTGATGCAAACAGAATTTAATTCAGGATTTAAATTTACTTTACAAGTTTTATTAATTTGCATAAGTCAGAGACATTTTTGGTGTTCGATTTATTAAAAGCATAAGGTGAAAAATTTATTTATAAGAAAAAAGGCGATTGTAAAGCAAATTGTGTCTGGCCTAGAAAGAAAACTATATTAATTTTCTTTTGATACAAAATTTAATTTTAAACTTAAACATTTTATGTCACATTGCTGAGTTTTTTTAAATGTAGATAAATATTTATAATATTTTAAGAAAGCAGTAAATTAAAAGTTAAAACTCGTAGTTCAACAAAGCATTTCTTTAATACAAATGTATAGTTCTCGACAAACTGATAACTTTTGATTTATGGTTATTTGATTATTTCAGAAAGTAGCTTTTCCCACGCATTTCAATAATGATATCGATGCGGCATGAGCAATTAATTTTACAGTAATTCAATTAATTTCTAGAAGAGTACTTTCTTAGATTCTTTTTCATTCTGTGTTCTTGTGATTAAGAGGTTTAATTAAACACACTTGTGCAAACATGAAATAGGGGGTAACCGGAGAACTGCCGCCTTGCAATATTACGCAATCATGCAGAAAGCTAATTATACCCTCGGGGTAAGAAATATAAATGAGAGGAAAATTTAACCATCTGAGTAGGAGTTAAAATAAATATTGATGGAAAGAATTATGAGTTGATTAAGAGTTTCATTGTGAAAGTACTTAAATATTTATAAATATTTTTTCGCAAATTAATCTCTTTTCAAATCTTAAATCTCTTTTGCAAGCATTTTGAGAACAGAGCGTTAAGCAAATTGAAACTATTAAAATATTAAGTTGGAGTCATTTTGGAAAAATAATAGAGCTTTAAATTCTCTGGGAATTTAAAATGCGGGAAGGTTATTATAAAAATTACTTACATTTTTCTAATTTATTATTGGACTTATTATTATATAGTATATTGTACATAACGTTGTATAAATGCTTACTATTATTAGAGGGACAGGAAAGTAATGTCGTTTCGGCGCATTAAATATTCGTTAGTCTTAAAAACCAATAATTTTTTTCGATTCATTTTCGATCCGGTATTGAAAGGTTGTTACTAACGAGGGAGAATACATTATTGATTAAAAATAAAACCATGATAGGAAATATCAAATGCACCAAGACGACATTACTTTCGGGTCCCCCTAATACTATTATTACAGTAAAATTAATTATTAATATTATGGCAACTTTCAAAATTATTTGAAGTATTAATTCAATTTTTAACTTGTTATTGTATTCATTATGATATATATTATATATTTAAGATTGTATAAGTGCTTACAATTGCTTTTATTAAGGTAAATTTTTTAATTAATATTATGGTTGCTTTCAGAGTTATTTGAAATATTACTTACATTACACGATTAAAAACTTCATTTCCTTCAAAAATTCACAAATTAGAAATAACAGTCACATGATTCAAGCTCTGAAAAAATAGGAGCCATAGTCAAAACTTGCCAACGGGAATAAGAAGAAACGAAAATGATTTTAATTATAAAAGGTAAAGTTGCCAAAGAAAAATGGGAAGACAAACGCAAGAAAAAAAACTGGAAAATCCCTAGTAGCCAAAAGGGAAGAAAATGTAAAAATCAAATAAAAAAAAATCCACAGTGGCCGAGAGGGGCAAATAAGGATGAAATGCATTTTCACACTCTAAGATGTCGTGAAGAACTAATGCCGTTAACAAGGGAATCAGCATTCATATGAATAAAAGAAGATTCCAGGGAATCAAAATGAGTTGATGTGACAGGAGTGGAAATTATTTCGGCAGTGTTAAAATTGAATTTGCGAAAAAGATTCCAACAATGTGCAGTAATTGATGATTTATCGTATTCTAAATTATAACTGTCATAACTTCCGTGTTCAAGTCTAAATTTTTATTTAATTACTCATATTCTTAATTTTACTGTACTTATTATAGTACACATACAAAATTAAAGATTAAAGATTACAAGTACACATACAAGATTACGCTAAAGATTATTCGGCAAGTAATTAAGTGAAAATGACAAATAATTGTTTGAAATAATTAGTTCGAATTATCATCATCATTTTTAGCTAGATAGCCCAGAGGGAGCCAGTACCTCTTTTTGAATTCAGTTTCACTGCATTCTATTTTTGACATTTGTGTACCATTTTTTTTCCTTGGATAGTAAGGAAGTCAGTTTCCACCAACCCATCTATCTCTATCTAAGTTTAATTTTGATCCTGCCTTCTGCTTGATAACGATTTATAGAAAAAACATTTTTCTTTTTTTGATGTGGAATCATTATGCATTCTAAATCTATGAACTGACTTGCTCCTCCAGTTTTTTTTTATGAACTTTACAATATCTAACTCTCAATAGATTTTATATAGATAAAAATTATATCTTCTTCTCTAAGACATTGTTAATTACTATCCCACCAAGAATGGGTCGCAAAACTTTTCTCTCAAAAAAATGGCTGTTCTATTTTCTCCAATTTTGGTCAAGTTTCTGAGCTACAGGTAATTATTTGCTTAATATTGTTTTATATAGTAAATATTTGGTATTTTTTGATAGTAAAGAAGAATTTAAAAAATTATTTTAGTCCACAAAAAGCTTCATTTGCATATATTAAAAGACTTTGAATCCTCTTGACTATGATATTTTATTTTTTACTTTATAACCGTCGTTGAACAGCTGACCCAATTTTCAAGTTTACGACTACTAATGTTCAACTTTGTTGCCTTGTAATTTTAAATTCAATCCAGAAGACAATGGAACTCCTGGATCAATTCTTGGGAGTAATTTGCCTTAGTGGAGGACTTTTTGGGGGAACTTACCAGCATTTACTTTACATGAAGAGTAAGACCACGAGAACCTCTCACAGTCCCTTTCATGTGCTATCATGTGTTATAGTCTCTTTGCCGTCAGCCAAAGGGACTATAACACATGATTCGTCTACCGCTGTGGTCGGTACAAGCCAGATGTGGAGTTGTATCGACCACCATCGCTGGGATTATTGTCAACTGTAACAATAAAACGACCTGAGATGTGTGACAACCGATTTCCAGACAGGATTCATGGGACATTCCATAGCTTAATACTGAAATATATTTGGTCTTCTCGCTATTTATGATTAATCTCATACAATTAGCAGCACGCTCTAAAGAAAAGGAGACTTCTCTTAATGCAGAAACAGTTCATGAAATGATGTTAATTATAGCATCTCGTGTGACTTTTTCTAAGGCAACGAAAAAGGGAAAACTGAATAAAGTATATTAGTTTGAATATATTACTAAAAATGAGCTTGTTTTTCTTTAAGCAAAAGGTTTTAGCATTGAAACCTTAAATCGATACTAAGAATCATGAAAATATATGTTGTCAGTAAATAAACAAACCAAAAAAAAAAAAGAGTAAATAAGTAAATAAAACTTAACAGTGAAAAGGGAAGTAAAAAATGTGACTTAGCTTATCTCAACACAATTTTTGGTGGCAACGACACATTATTTTTTTCCAGAGTACTGATAGAAATCTGGATCTTTGGAAAATGTCTCGTTCGTAAATTTATGATCAATCATTTTTTGCCAATAATTTACTCATACAAACAGTAGTTTATTTAACTTTTTCTGAACCAATTTATTTTTAAACAAAAAAAAACTATTCTCAGTTTTTTCAGCAGAAATCAATAATTCTACTAAATACCTATCCGTCAGCGACATAAAAAAAATTATTGATTTTAGCTTTAGGTCATTTACAAAGCCAGCTCGATAGATGTCACAACAATTAATATATTTTTCCAGATCCTATTACAATAATATTTCCTAGCATAAGATGAGAGAATATGTTACTACTAAGCCTTATTGATTACAGTTACAAATCATACATGTAATATAAAGCCAATACTTAAGTGGATGTCACATTGCTTTCTCTGTCCAGATGATTTGATGTCACCCTTAACCTTCTAGTCGTCAGTTTCTCTA